CGTGAGTAACTAAAGAAACTTTGTAAAATAAAATTTTAAATTAAAAAATGAAAATAATTTATTACTTAAATCCCAGACAAATAAATAAAGTAGCCGATAAAGCAATAAAATAAATATGCTTCCTCTTAAACGGCAAGAAGGTCAATAATTTAATTGCGTGATAAAGCTTTCTGTTACCTATTATATATTTAGGTAACAGGAAACATTAATGAAGAGCTTAGTTTAAAAAAAGTGCTTAGTGACATTTATGTGAATTCAGAACAATAAGCTACAAAAAATTGAAAAATGATAGGAAATCATTTACTGAATTTATATCCTTATTTAAATCCTGATAATTTAAAGACACAGAGGAAAATAATAATATTTTAAACGTTCAAAATATTCATTCAGAAAACTAACATTGTGTACCATCTTCACTAACTCTTTAATAGATTAGTTCTTTACAGCTATAATACAAATGTTGTCCAAACGCCGGAAAGGAAAAGGTCAAATATCTCGAAAAGTGTAGGAAATGTGAATAAAATAAGGTAGTTTTCTTATATGCAGCGCCACTAGTACTTAAAAAATACAATATGAAAAGCGTAATTTTAAATCAAATAAATTTGTGGATTCAGATAGCAATAGGAATACTAATTCTCAGACGAAGGCTTGATATTCCATCATTATAGCATATAATAGCTCTCGCAAAGTATTCGCCACCTCACAAATGCGATAAAATTTGTCGAATAAAATTGTGTTTTGGTGAAAGAAAAACATATATTTATATCGATTCTCAAAATTATGTAAAAGGAATTTTTCTAAACAAATTAGTACTTTTTATTCGATTACGGTAATTTTCAATAGATGCGCCAAATAACCAATTAAAATTGGGCCCAAATAATATGAACATGAAACAAACTACATTAAAATAGTTTTCTATGGGAAATAAATTAATTATAAAAAATTTGCATTTGGCGGTGACTTTCGACAGTTGACGAATACTTTTGATATTTGGCTGATTTACTTGCAAATAATTTGATATCCTTAGTATGGACTTTTTTTATAGGACTGCCAACTACTATCCTTTTTGAAAAATATTTTAATAAGTGGTAGGCAGTCAAAAAACAAACTGTCAGAATTTTGGTTATTTTTTCCAGCATTTTAAAAGCTTCTTCACAGAAAAACTAGATCAAAATAGTTCTTCTATGAATATTTTGATCACTTACGTGTAGGTGGTGAGGAAAATAATTTACTTTTTAATAATTATATGAAATCTACTTAATAAAGGACACAAGAAATACAAGAACCACAAGAAAAAAATTTCCCACAAAGCTTAGAAAGTTGGCTGTTGATATCACTGTTATCACTAGCTGCATTAATATTACCGACTAGCTGATATCACTGATATTATCTTTTGAGTTAGTAGCCCTCCGACCGATGAATTAAAATTTACCAAATATTTTTAAAATTAAGAAATAACTTTAGATTGCGTAATCAAAATTTCTAAGATTAAATTTTCAATACAAAAACATAATTCACAGGCGTTTACTAAACAAAGTTTTACAAAGAACACGTAGACAAACATATTTATTACAGACTTCCATACTTTAAGTTCAGGAAATAAAACTACTTCATGTAAAAATACTTCCTTATTAAAAATAGCTTAAAAATTTAACTTTAATCTAAATGAAGAAAGGGTATACTCCATGCCGTATAGACAAATCTAATTTGTGTATCTATATTTTGTGTGCATTGTTTGGGCTTTATTTACATCGTTTAGCTTTAATTTTTTTTTCATAAATCTGCATTCTAACTCAAAGTATTCCATTAGTTTTTTGAACGCATACACATAAAAGCACTTATACGAATGACGTGCATATTGTAGCAAAGCTAATGAATTTCATTTCTCGCATTGGCAATGGAAAATTAAAACACGATAAGCTTTAACAAAAGCAGAGCAGTGAAATATCAAAAGAGAACTACTCTTATTAAACACGAGCTGATATATTTTTTATTACGCTAATTATTCTCGAAGGTTACATAATAATTACTTATTTACTTACTTATTCTCTTCATGCCGAACTGGTACATAAGGCCTCGAGTCTTTTTCTCCATGCACTCCTGTCTTTGGTTAGGCAAGCACTTCGTCTTATCCAGTTAATCCTGCTTTACCAATATCTTCACACAATAATTTAGAGCCATATTTTATTCTTTCTAATCTTATAAATTTTCGTAGTTTGCTCAATAATTTTTACACGAGAGAAAGACAGACTATTCGAATATTTTACAGTACATAGGATAAAGGATTTATAACTATTGTGTCTTCGAAAGCTGAAATTTAAAATTGGGAATATTGGGACATTCGATGAGTTAGCACCAAATGAAATTTCCATATAGCTGTGAAGTACATATCAATTAAAACAAGATCTATATATGGGTCATTCTCACAAAAACAGTCATTTTCATGTCCCCAGTATATTATATGTTTGTTTTACAGCCTACGAAGAAAAAAAAATCTGGGAAAGTGTCCTTCAGAATGCAAGCGGACAAAAGAATAAAAATAAAATTATCAATTTTTATATTTTATTTATTTTAGGTAATTAAAATATACCGATATGTCATTGCCTCACTTGTCCCCACTGCTGATTTAAAAAAAGAAAAAAATTGTTTCTGAAATAAAATTTTTTTTTTTACAAATTCGTGTTTTTTATTTCAGAATACTGAAATATAGAATTCAGAAAATCAATTTTAAATTTAATTTCTGATAAAAATATTAACACAGCACTATTTTAAACTTTGTCCCCAGTGTTTCGCGTCATTCCCTCACAACAATGTTCTTATCACCTGCAATCTTCTTAGAATAAAAATATTTTAATAAAAACTTCAGAAGTTAACAACTGGCATCATAGAACAAAATTGCAGTATGTTTCCATCTTCAACTTAAAGAAGCTTTGCTGTGGAATAAATTTGAATGAATCAAACCAGGTAAAATTTTTTACATTTGTCATTCCCTCATGTCATTTTTTAGAGTAAAATAAAATACAACTTCATCGAGAAAGTGGATAATTATATGTTGCTTTCTTGTATGAATATAATTGTATGTGATTGACTTCAGAAATTAATTAGGCCTAACTGTTATTTTTAAATTTTATTGAATTCGTCATTCCCTCACTAGTGTATAAAGTGAGGGAATGACGCTGAAGTGAGGGAATGATTCAAGATGAGTATATTATTAAATTTTTTTTTGTTCAATCGTGCCAGCCAATTTTATTTCCCAAACCTGTAAAAACTATTAAATATATAAGACTAAATTATAATAAATATTAGATATACTTAGTATGTTATAATTTTCAAACTTTAGGTAGATGTAACTTAGATAAAAACATGTATTAAAATAAAATATCATTCCCTCACTATTAGTGTCATTCCCTCACTTTTTAAATAGTGAAAATAATTAATTTACTTATTAATTAATTTAAAAAATAAATTTATAAATTAATAAATAAATTTATTAAATTAATTAATTTATTTATTTAATTAATTTATTTATTTAATTAATTTATTTATTAAATTAATTAATTAATTTATTTAATTAATTTATTTATTAAATTAATTATTTAATTATTATAAATTAATTAATTCTTAATTAATTATTTAAAAAATTAATTAATTTAAATATTAAGTATAATTTTTTGGATATATACTTTCTTTATAATGCCATTACACTTTACTTTTTTGGGATTTTATGAACTGAAAAATGAGTTTTCGTGAGAATGACCCATATATTATCGGTTTTATAGAATGGATAGATGAATAACAGAATAACAATGGGAAATAATATTTTTTACCAAAGCATGAGATTTTTATCTGATCTTGAATATTTTCATGTAGTCAATCTCAAATTTGCTCAGAGATTATAGTACTCACCCCCAGTGAAGTGATTTAGTTCGAATCCCAGCAATAGCTGATCGATACAAGTTCTGCTCTCAGCTCGCAAAGACCACAGCGATGAAATAAAATATTCCCAGTGATAAACGAATCATAAGTTAAATTTCCTTTACGTCGGACATTGCCTCAAAAGTTTTCGGGGTTTTAATTCTCGTGTAACGCCAATGCTAATCCGTTCTCTGAAAGAATCTTCCACAAAGGCAAGTTAGTTCCAATGCTTGATTCAGAAGTTAGTTTAAGGCTTGGGTTGGTTTCAAAACTACAAGACTGTTGAGTAAAACATTGAGCTAGAGCTCTTTATATTTAACTCATTGAGCTGCTTAGTTAAACATAAAGAGGGGTCAGTTGTTTAACGTCAGTTATAATATTAAATTAAAATTCATAACTTGAACCGGAATCGATCAGGGGATGAACTGTTAGTTTTCCATTCAGACGACCTAAGTTTGAATCCCAGTGACAGATAGTTGATGCGTTTTCTGTTACTGACTTCCACCGATCACAATATTCCCAATAGCAGAAGAATCTTGAGTTAATCCCCTTGAAGTCGGGCCAAACGTGAGATGTGTTCTTGATTTTCCTATCCATAAAAAGAAAATGCCAGTTAGTTCCTTCCGCCATGGTTAGTTTGTTTCAACTTTTAAAAGAGTTCCTTGTCTTTTGGGTTGAGTTCAAAATTACAAGACAATTGAGATAAGCATTCATAGGCTATGAAGATCAAGATTCAACTCATTGTGAAAAAAAGTAAAAAAGTCATATTTTATAGCTATTAACGTTAAATTTACACTTAGAATCTGGAAATATCTAATATTAGCAAAATTTTAAAAATCTAATTTTAACAGGCTGAAATTAAAAATAAATAATTTAAAATGCCCAAAAAATGACAAATTTTATAAAAACAAACCATGGTTTAAATATTTGTATTTTTATTCTTCATAGAAAAGTAAATTTGTTTGAGAAATATGTTGTTTTCTACTAACAATATGAACCATTGTTTTAAAGCAGGAAATAATTTTTGAAGCGCATAATCTTATCGTGACGTAATTTATTTTTTACTTTATTTTCTTTTGGGTATGATAATGAGCAGAGCATTTGGTAGATGGAGCTATCAAATGATTTTTCGCCTTGAGTTCCCACTGTACTGGTCATAAACATCGGGGTAGTCAAAGAAACGACATATATTTACCTAAATTAGATTGCACGAAATATAAATAGAAATCGTGCTTCGAAGTTACTTGAAATCATGGCAAGGTAAATAAGCTTTCTTTTAGATATATATATTCAGTTTAATTATATCTTTAAATGTAGCTGTGTTATTCGGTTATAGTATATATATACATATATATAGATATATATAAACGAATTTAGTGTAAATTCGTGCAAATAACGTTAAACTTATATTTATATACACTATATTTACACTATTTTATATGCACTATATTCATATACTACAATTTTTATAATTTTTATGCATAATTGAGTTTTTGTTCTATTTGTAATTTTAAAAAAAATAAAACTGATTTGTATTTAACGATTTTATTATTTTTTTTTAAAATTGCAGCAAAAACAATGCCATGATAAAAATACAACACTAGAAATTTTGAGTAAAAAAGGCTATAGATGCCAATTAATCTATACACGGCACGTTTTATTACAAGGATTCTCTGTTAGCCAAAAATGTTTACTTGTTACACGATGTAAATAATTTGACAAGATTTAATAAATTAAATATCGCTTCTAGTTTTGAAATATTTAAAATGTTATTGAAATTGGTTAAAAATTTAACTTTTTTTTTACTGTTAATATTATATAGATGATAAAAACCATTGTCTCTAACAAAATGTGAAGTGCTTATTCCGACACTTAGTCATAAAAATTTCAGAAAATTTTAAATATGTTAAAATTGCCGCATTTTCTTAAAAAGAAAAATGTGTAACGATTATTTTATTTGTGTACATACAAAGAATTTCAACTATTGAAGTTTCTTGAAACTATAACAATACCTAAAACAACTAACTATAGTAAATTTCGCAATTAAAATAACATTTATTTTTTAAAGAAATTTACATTTTTCGAAACAAATTGCAAAACAAAACTTTGAGATATTTTTTTTGATTATGATCTATTTAAAAAAAATGCATATACCGGTTATGTGAAGAAAAGAAATATAAGCATGCGTAAATTAAACCACATACATTTTGGTTAAAAAATTTATTCAGCAACTCATTGTAGCTGGCTGGCTACCAACAGACGTGAACAATTTCTAAGCTATTTAGGCCTAACCTTTCTGCTTAACTAATGCAAAGAATTCCAGAAAATTTCCATTGTAAGCCCGGCGTGTTGAGCCATCAATGTAGAAGTCTACAATTTCGAGACCGACGGCATGATTGTTACAATGTACTATGTATTGCACACCGACCGCTTTTACTTCCCTGAAAAGTCTGGTACCAATCAATATGAAGTTGAGTGATTTTTAAATCACGACCGGTGATGGAACCGCAGTGGCTCACTCTGTCAGCCCAGTACCTTAACAACGATGAAGTCACGGTTTTCTGGCTATTAGAAAGAATATGTTAATCTAATCAAAAACCAATAATAAAAACAGAAGTTAAATGAAATAATAAAATTCCCTTAAGGAGTTAAAAAAAATTAGTTTAAAAACTTGTTAGTCTTTAATGCTTAACTAAAGTTGTCTATGTTTGTTAATATAACGGTTGTATGTGAGGGAAAAAAACAAGTTTTATTGTTTTTATTTTGGAGTCTTGTTAAAGAAATTTGCCATTTGTACATTTAAATGAAGTGTTGAAAAGCATCGCTTTTAGAATATTTATTTTATATGAATCAACATTCAATTACTACAGTCTTCTTAAATAGAATAGGCTTTTCTATATTATGCGACTATCAACACCTTAACCCTCTCCGTTTCAATAGTTTTGGCAAAACTTGCTTTTTCTTCACTGTAGTAAGAAGTTGGGATTATATTGGCTTGGAAAGAAAAGAAATATTTGCTGACACCACGGAAACGGAGAGAGAAAAAAATGAAGAGTGAAGAAATCGCATAATCTTGAGACACCTTTTTTTCTATACAGAGTATAATATCAGTTGTTTAAATATATTCTCATAAAAAAATAATAAAAGGAGTTGTTAAGTATATTTAAACAATAATAAGAGACATTTTCCATGCTCATCTAGGATTCCAGTTTAAATTTATTTTTGATTTGCAATTTCTTTGATATTTTTTTGTACTCAATAAGCATTTTGTGATGAAAGTTATTTGCCAATGCTATAATACATTTGAAAAATGGATTAGGATGAATAGCGCTTGATAATTTTTAGAACTTCTATATATTTTGTAAAGACTACTTAAGCCAATAAAACTATGCCATTTGTGGTTCTGTTTAAGTAATTTAAAATTACACATTCGTATGTTTTTAGATTTTTAATATAAAATTTATTACAGTTTAACCTTTGGATGATGTTAAAGAACTTGTTTTTATCGTAAATGACTTAAAAACAAACATATTGATCAAAACTCTACAAAAAGACAATTGTGTAATACTAAATTATTTTTAAAAAATGCTGATTGTAAAATTTAATTGTTATAATTGTATAAAAAAATTGAGAATCAAAAATACCATAAGCCTTGTATCTGAACTGTTAACTGGATGATAACCTTGTATTTTACATGTTTCCAAAGATTATGCCAAATAAAGTAAATATTCCTTTTCAGCTGGTGAATATTAAATAAAGGGTATTAAAAGCATATTCAGAATTTTCCCACCTGTCCTTCGACAGTTCGTCTCTTTCGACAGTAGAAAACGCCTCTAATCAAATGAATCGATATTTTTGAAAATACGATAGGTTAACTTTCGAAGAAAAAAAATGTGGTAATTGTAATTTTAGCAAAACTATTGACGCAAAAATACTTATTTTTATAGCGGAATAAATCCATTTCTAATTATCAAAAGATAAAACAATATTTTATATGTTTTTTCAAATTACTGCATCTATTGAAAATATCACTCGTTAGGCTTCACAGTCTGAGAACAAGCGTATATATGAGAATACACGCTATTTTTTTGCATCAATTTCGATGTAATTTACCTGATTTGACTCTTTCGCAAGTTTAATTTTTTTTAATTTTGTTTCCAGTCAGGAAAAAAAGAAACATTTGCTGAAACCATGGAAACGGAGAGAGTAAAAATGGAAAGTGGAGAAATCGCATAAACTTGAGGCGCCTGTTTTTTTTTTTAATATAAAAAGTATAATATTAGCTGTTTAAATGTAGTCGCATAAAAAATAATAATAAAACGCGTTGTGAAGTATTTTTAAGCAATAATAAGAGACGAGGCTTTTTCCATCTTCATCTTGGAATCTAGGTCAAATTTTTTATTTGCATTTTTTCGAAATGTTTTTTACTCAATAAGCATCTTATGATGGAGAGTTATTTGAGAAACAAATAAAAGAGATAAGATTAGGAAAAATAGATTACGATGAATAGAGCTTGATCATTTTTAGAAATTCTATAGATTTTTTAAAAAAAAAACTTTATAATAAACCAATAAAACTATGCGGTTTGCTGCTCTGTATAAGTAATTTAAAACTGCACATTTGTTGTTTTTAGACTTTTAAATTTAAATTATATTAAAATTTAAACTTACGAAAACCGATTTGGATGACGATAAAGAATTTTCTTTTAAACGTACAGCTTAAAACAATGATATTGATTGAAACTCTATAAAGAGATGTTTGTGTAACAGTTATTACTTTTTGAAAAATGCAGATTGCAAAATTTTATTGGTGTAATTTTGAGAAAAAAAGGAGTTAATAGTAATTTCAGTGAAATAATTTAGATAAGATAAGATAAGATTATTCATTTTTTTGTATATTCATAATCATAGATTCAATAAAGCATGATTTCAAGTTAAAATTATCGAAATGTTTTTAGCTAAAACTACTGTCACAAGAATGTTTTTTTTAAAAAGTGGAATAAATCCATTTCTAATTATCAAAAGTTAAAAGAAAAAAAAAACATTTTATATGCGTTTTTAATATACTATATCGATTGGAAATAATCGTTCTTCCGGCGTCACTGCCTATGTGAGCACGCATTTCGCGAGTTGGCTATTTTTTGCACTAATCCATAATTCGATGCGATTTATCTGATTTTGTTTAGTATTCTTTCACAAGTCCAACTGCTTGAATTCTGTTGCCTGTAATAATCAATTGCAGCATCCATATAATTCAAAATAATATAATTGTATCAAAGCAAATTTTCAAAAAACAATAAGTTATAAGATCTCAGCAAGATTACTTATTTGTCATTTTATAAAAGGTCAAGACTAATGTCAAAAGTTCATTGCCTAATATAACACCTATTTACCATTAAAACTAAATTGTTATTATTAATAAATATTCATAACATGTCTATATTTAATCATTGTTTTACATCAAAAAATAATATTTTTTAATAAAATATTATTTTATTAAGAAATATTATAACAGCATCTAAGTACAGCCAATGTATATAAAAAAAACAATTTACCTATCTTCTTATATTATTTATTTTTTGTAAAATAGAATATTGAAAAAGGAATAGGTATAATTGCAACTAAAAATATTTCTTTTACGAATTGAGTAATCACTACTGCATTTTATATTTTAATCAATCATATTATTGTTATATGAAAATTACATAAATTGATTAACCCTTGCCAATATTTTCATATTCATTCAAACTCTAACCCTTAAATATTTTGTTCAATGGGCTTATCCCATTTTCAAAAAGAATGGATTAAGGGACACTTTTATTTTAATAAATTATACATTTATGGACTGTTGTGTAACTTTTATGCTACACTTTTTCTTCCCATTTTACAATTTTCTTTAATAAAATATATTTTTAAATTCTTGTTTATTATTATAGGTTAGGAGTAAATTGATAAATCCGATTTGGAATTATTTGAAGTTTGTTGTCTCCCCACCTATCATAAAACACTAAATTGAAACTAAAATGTACAGAGTAATTATATTTAAAATTATTAAAATATCAAATTAAAATAAGGGCAAATAAATCTGAAAATAACTATTTCAAATGAATTGTAGATTGAAAATATTGCGTAATGAAATAATAAAATTAAAGGAAAAGACTCCCAGAAAAAAATTTAAAAGGAAAGTTCACATAAAGATTATTCTCTCGAAAAAGTTAACCTGATAACATGAAGCTACCAGGACCCCAACAAGTAATAAAAATAAGAAAATTAACTGAATTATATCAAATTAACTGAATTACATAAAACTTTATATAAAATTAACTGAACATCCTTTTTTCGTACAGGATGGAAAAACAAATAAATGATTAATAAATCTGTATTAATCAGCACTACAAAATCTGTATTAATCAGTACTACAAAATCAAACTCTAAAACTGAAATGCATACACCGACACTATTAATTAAGGTAAAACAATTCCGTTTCTCATTTTTATCATTCTCTTCCCGGTTGCTTTATGTTATCAGGCTAAGCAAAACATATTTTTCAAAGTTCATTCTTTCAAAATAAAGATTAGTTATATTCAGCATCATTTGGAATAATGCTATTGTTCGAGATAAGTCAAAAATTACCATAATCAACAAGTTTTTCCGGTTCCTATCTCTTACTTATGCTCTTCTGAAAGGTTTTATGATATCATATAAAATTGTGTTTTTAGAAGTTCCTTGCTTTAAAATAAAGAAAATTGTATTCAGTATTATTTGGCATAATACTGTTGCTTGATGTCAAATTTTAACAGTCAAAAATTAAAATTATCAACATTTTTCTTTTATACATATCCCTTTCCGTGTGCTGTAGAAATCTATTTCCACAGAAGTATCTTCATACCTGTACATATAGTACAGTTTAAATTTATTAAACAACACACAAATGAATATTTTATTAGTAGTTCCTACCTCTTACTAACATTAACTCCTACTTTGGCGTTGATAAGGAGATTTTTTATTGTTTTGAAGATGAATAAGTATACAATTTTATCAGTGTCAATAAGCGTCAAATCAATTTTTTACGGTTTATATGTGCAAAAAAGTACCTTTTCTCCAAGTATTAATTAAGCATTTTAATACAAAACTATATTTTATTTTAATTTGTGTTTATTACCAATACTATTTAACTCTAATTCTCGAAAATAATTAGTAACAACCTAATATTTTTATAATCATTCATGGTGAAAAAAATAATATTAGTATTGAGTATTTCGAATGCCTTAAGCAATCGTAAAATTATTATTAACGCCAGTAATGCTAACTTAAATGTGATATTATAAACTTTAATACATATAATTTTTACCCCATTTTAAAGATTGTATTTTTACATGGCAAAATACAAAATGTGTACAAAATCTCTCGAATTGTTCCTGGGTAATCTAATTTTAAAAATACGACTTTTTCAAAATTCCATTTCTCAGAAAAAATTAGACCGATTTCGCTCAAATTTTGTGCTTAGACATTTAAAATTGCATTCTTTGAAATGAAGGAAAACATATTATACCTTGCAATTTAAATTTATTTCAACTACTATTAAATAAAATAATACCAAATAGTAAATACTCAATCGAAACCTTTTTTCTTTTTTTTTTGCATGGAATTATTTTTGGCGAAATGAATTTTGAAATTGTGTGCAAACTACTTTAAATTCACTTAAAAATTACTCGAGGTATGGTGAAATGCGCAAATAATAAAATTAACATCAAGGAGTCCAAACTTTGGAGTGCTGTCCTGACCAAACTTTTGGGGCAGTATTTCCGAGATTAACGTGTCAAAATTCCAATTCGTCGATAAAAAAGAATGTTTATTCAAAGGAAGTACTTTTTGTATCTGATTTCGTAACTAAAAATTTCGTCTACATTAATTAATTGGAAAAATTGGAGGTTATTTCCTTGAACGTTTAAGATTAAATTCTGGAATGTGAAGATCCGATTTTGAGATCATAAGTTATTCCTCGTGATCTGTTTTTGTTATTTTGCCCACTGTATGTACATACAACTAAATATTTTGCTTTATATATATAGGTATAAGAATTGTAAGAAAGTTTCGTAACATCATACACTAAATCCAACAACATTTTTAATTTTCTACTGTTTCTATCTGATTCGTGTAAAAGAAGTTTCTTAATGAGTTGTCGAACATATTTACCGAATCGAACATATTTAATTCAGAATCAATCGAGGATCGATTCAGAATCTCGGTTATATATGAGCAATTCTACAAATAAACGCCAATTAGGCGGCCAAAAAAAAAACCTTTTTGGGGGGGGGGGGACACGCTATTTCTACATGAATTTTCTTCTTTTTTACACCCTAAAAAATCAAGAAAAAATCGTGAACATGAAATTTTTTCTTTGTAACATGTCTTAAATGACAAAATACCAATTTTAAATTTTTCCCGATTTTTTCAATTTACGAACTTTGATTAAATTTTTTTGTTTTTGTTTTTTATACTAAAATGTAATCTTCTAGAATGAAATCTCTATAAATACATTTCAGAGAGACATTATAATAATATTATATTTATGTAAAAATCGTTTTATCAACTAGGTTTTAACACTATTAATAAATTAAAATTTTATTTATTTGAAACTAAAGTAAGTTATTCTTTTTATTATAATACAAATAATAGCATATAATGTCTCTATAACATGTATTTATATAGATTTTATACTACAAGATTATATTTTAGTAATAAAAACAAAAATAAAAAATTTTAATCAAAGTTCGTAAATTGAAAAAATCGGGAAAAATTTAAAATTGGTATTTTGTTATTTAAAGTATGTCACAAAGAAAAAATTTCATGTTCACGATTTTGTCTTGCTTTTTTAGGGTGTAAAAAAGAAAATTCATGTAGATATAGCGTGCCCCCCCCTTTTTTTTTTCTTGGCCGCCTAATTGACGCTTATTTGTAGAATTGCTCATATACCATGCAGTCATACATATTAACATTCTGTTTTATTAATATAGATTGAAAGAAAATACGCATCAAAATTAACATTCCGATTTTTCTAGCTGCAAGCCGGTAACATTAGCTTTCAAAGTCTTTGAAGCTGGCCAGAATGTCGAAAGGAATAATCCCATAATAATATTGCATGGTTTAGGTGGCTGTAAAGAACACTGGGATGATATTCCACAAAAAGTAGCTGAAGCCACTCATAGAAGGGTATGCTAAATATTGAATGTTTTAAAAACTTGGAATGTATAAATTTTTTGCTGAAAATCAAGTTTATGAAAAGTGCTCAATGTGATGTTCACCACTCTTTGTTACATTTTGATATACGAAATTGCATATTCAATCATTGAAATTAATGTATGTTTGGAAGCAAGATTACAAAGCAACAATCGTGAGTCCAGGCCTTTAAATCCAAGCTGCATCCATATGTAAGGGTGGATGGTGCGTAGCATATGCTGATGGAGAAAGGTAACGTATGCATGTTGGCGTTTTCCCTGAAATATATACAGCAGACAAAATCTATTTTCGATTTCAGATTTAAAAAATTGGAAATGAAATATTACAATTCTAATACAAAAAGCTTTTAATTTGCCACGCCTTTTGTAATAATTTATTTTTATATGTTCATTTTTTTATCATTCTTTAGAAGTTAGTTGATAATTTCTTTTTTATCTCTCGGTGGTCAAGAACTTCCAACAACTTAAAATGGAAAATATGTCAGTATATGAAATGTCCTGCTGGGCTGATCATAAAGATACGGTTCCCAGTAGAAAACCTAAGTAAAACACCAGAGGCTGAGGTCAGTAAGCGGGCCACTTTTATCAGCGTGCGTAGGGACCGAAGGTTGCGTGTTCTCGTTCCTCTTTAAGCTGTTCTATCGTAAAAAAACTCTACTCAGGTAGTCGCTGGTCATCGAGCTACCAAAATGAGGGAACCATCCCCTCTGCAGAGTATAAAAATTGTGATGGCATGACTTCGGATCAACACCGGGGATTCCCAGACCGTCGCCATTAGCACATTCTGAAGCTCTAGTGCGATATATATAAAAGTACCCACCAGTATAGGCATACCTGGCAATGAAATGTTACCTTTAAACATCAATAATCAGAATACACTTGGAAAAAAAACTGCAATATACTGATAAAATTTCCACTTTTCTAAAACTTGAAAAGAAAGGTGTCAAGTTAAATTTCAAAGGGAGTAAGATTGGAATCAATAGACCAATATTGCACATTTTTGTTTTGTAATCTTGCATTCCCACATCAAAAACCCACAGCACCGAGATGGCTCAGGGGATAGAGCGATCGCCTCCCAATGAGGTGATCCAGATTCGCGACCCAGCGGCGGCTAGTTGTTGGTGGCTAAATTTATTCTGCTTCTGACTCGCACCGACAACCGTGCTGAAGAAAAATATCCTAAGTTGTAGACGGACCATGAGTTAAAATCCCTTTGTCATCGGTCTAACCTTAGGAGTTTTTCCTCTGAATGCAACGTCAAAAGTTCCATCAAAATATAACGGCTAGTTTGTCCTAACGTTTGATCCAGGAGTCCCTTTTCTTCTTGGTTGGGTTCAAAACTCAAAGCTACAGAGTTGTACAGTACATTGATAGACGCAAGCACAGAGTTAAGTTTGCTGTTAAGATCGTTTAAAAAAATAGTAAACAAGTACCATATGAAGGATTCAAGTTAGAAGATCTGATTAGCTAAGCTGTAAGGAAAATGTGACAATTCACAATGATATGAACTAAATTACTAATGTTACTAAAGGCCACTAATGTACTAAATATGTACATCTAGTGGCTCTTTTCTGAACTATTTATTTGCTAAAATAAATTTTCAGAAATTCATTTGCATATTAGCACATTCATTAGCATTTACATAAGCAGCTCATGATTTTAATAATAAGCAACAATATTTTTCAAAGTTTATTTAATACATAAATAATAAACCAATATTAATCAAATGCAAATAAAGTCCCAGTTTATATTCATCGTTTTATTTTTTATCTTATTTGTTATGCTGAGCAGAATTGACGTCGTAAATCATCTATGAAACATAGAGTAAAGTTGAATGTAAAGTTAAATGACCCGTGTATTGCATAAAACATTAAAAAAAATTTACCATAGCTGTTACCATAGTATTATTACCATATATGCTACAGCATTATAACTTTAATGACGTTACCATGTGAGAAGAATTAATTAGAAGGTATCACAGATCAAGACTGCGAAAACAGAAATATTATAGATATACTTGGAAACTAAGTTTATTTATTGATTGAGAACTATGTATTTAATTTTTTATCTTATTTGTAATGTTGAACATAATTGACGTCATAAATCATCTATAAAATATAGAGTAAAGTTGAATGTAAAGTTAGATGACCCATGTATTGCATAAAACATTTACGATTGTTACCATAGCTGTTACCATAGTATTATTACCATATATGCTATAGCATTGTAACTATAGTATCGTTTCCAATTGAGAAGAGTTAAGTAAGACGTGTCACAAACCAAGTCTGCAAAACAAGAAATATAACTGGTATACTTGGGAACTAATTTATTGATTGGCAACTATATTAAACAAATAAACAAACAGAAGAGAAATACTACAATGCAGCAGAAGCTTTAAAGTTTGCTTATTCATCAATGTTCATTTACAATAGGAAGAAGTTACTTAGGTTCTGAGAAGAGAAAATGATTTTTGCTTTAAGTTTATTTTCTTTAACATCTGCAAAAAAATTCAAGTTAAACAAATAATCCAAGATTAATTAAAACGAATTTCTGTAATTTCAATGTTTTTTTAAATTCACATATGATGTAAGAAATCAATTGATGGCCCAATAGTTATTTATGCAGTTCACCGTCACTGGGGAACATCGTGTATTGTTGGGATTGTATCCTGTAGATTGCATTGTATCTTGTATATACTCTTAAACAAGATCGTGCCACTTTAACGATTCTCTACCACGAAATTGAATCCCTCTGATACTTTTCTGTGCTGACAATGGAACAATAGTAGTAGTAGTTGTTATTCTATCCTTTTTAAGTGTGCAGTATACTTTGTAAATGATTCGTAAAATCCAGAGAAAAAGGTTCTTATTTAATACGGCTACCCCCCTTTGAGTTCTTATTTTGAGGTGAAATGCTTTTAAGTACAATCATTGCTTTGAAAAATCTGCCATTTTGTTTTCGTATTTAAATTTAAATTTACCCAAGGGTGAAGCACAAATTCAAAACTTATAGCACACTACGCGCATAGGAATACTTCTAAAAAATTAAAATTAATTTTTAAACAAATTTATTGTATTTAATTGCAAATAAGCTCATAGTGTGTTGAAATTTGCAGGTATATACAGTAGATGCCAGAAACCATGGTGATAGTGACTGGAGCGATGAATTTAATTTTGATTTAAATGCAGTGGACCTCATACATTTTATAGAACAAATTGCAGCTGAGAAAGTCACAATTGTAGGCCATAGTATGGGAGGGATAACAAGCATGAAGACAGCTTTAAAAATAGTAAGTATTACCCACTACAAAACTATATACAGTAAAACCTGTCTATAACGATACTGTAGGGACCTAAATAAAATATTGNGAAAGGGGAGAAAAGAAATATAATAATAAGAATATAAATAATAAGAAACCGGATAAAAAATGAAAATCCGGAATTTTATTAATTTTTTAATTTTTTCGGATTCATTCGTATTTTTCGGATTCATTGGTTGTAAGGACATAATTGTGAATTGTTCTTAAGTATATTAGTCCATACACACATGTCATTGCTGAGATTATTCGAAATTTCTCTTGTAAAGTACTGAAGTAATGCGTCACAGATTCTAATAAAATGGGCAACAAAAAGGAAATTCAGTCAATTGTCCCATTCCTCTGGAAGTTAAAGAATGGCTCCGGATCTTCAGTTACCGAAAGAAAAGAAAATATGGAACATTTATTTTAGCTTCTTCAATAGTTTTGACTGTTAAAAAAATGCAACTCTCATTCGACAATCTCAAGAGTTATTAAATTAGACTGTGAAACAAAGGATGCTACAAGAGCGGCTGAATTACAGCGAAGGAGAGTTACTCCAACTAGAACTACAACCGCACGCCTATATATTCTACTATATAACAGCTTTATCATAAACAATCCGTGTTTTAATCATTAATATATATTTATTCAAAACAATAATTCCTCATTTTCCAGCATGTCGGTATTGATTTTTTTCTTTTTTGTCATCCGCATAAAAATAATAAAAGTAATAAAGGTATTGTTTTTCTATAAATATTTTTGTAACTCTAATTTAAAGTTATTTTTTTGTAAGACTATTTATTTATTTATTTTTGTTCTCACCGCTGTATGACTTTTTACTTTCCGTTTAATGTCCATTAACATATTTTTATCCCATTAACATTAATAAAAAATACCCATGTGAAAATAAAGGTCGTACAAATTTGCTTATTCATATGGATGTGCTACTTACCTTTCTAGCTTTTGAAAAAGCATTGTGATTTCCGATCCAATATGTATATTATTAATATATTATGATCTTATTTCTGCAACATAAATCCTAATAATAAAAAGCTTGTGCTACTATTTTGTTTCTATTTCGAAACTACACATAATCGAATGAATAGATCACCATACAAAGTTTATTTCATAAATTAACAGACATCCTAATTCTTCAAAATTTAAAAATTGTAGATTGATATCAAAATTTCTTTCACAAAAAACCTTTAACTTTTTGTGACTCCTACAGATTTCAACTTACAATATTATTTTTTTCAGCCCGCTAAAGTTGAAAAAATAGTTATCGAAGATGTTGGTGTTTTAGTACATAAAGGTATTTTAGACTTTATAAGGTTGGTATTTTCATTACACGAACAAGCTATCTTGAACATGCCCAAAGTTTCTACAAAACAAGAGGCTGTGAAGTTCTTCAGTGATTTTGTGTATGAACGAGTTCCAGATGAAGCAGTAAGTTATTATTATTAAATTCAACTTATAAAACTGAATTGAAATGTTAACCATCTGGTTGCATATCCAACGATTAAATATAGGGCAGTATAGATGTAGCAAATTTTCGGTGCGGGGATGTGTCTTTTCCCGTTGATTTAACTGTGCAATTGTTATTTTTCATTGCTTATTACCCATTGGCAAAATAGGTGTTATTTTGGGTTTGATAGCGTGTGCACCTTATTTGGACGTTATCGCACTTTTCAACTGTGTTCAAGAGTAATAGTAAACAGTGCGCATGCTTCGTCATTGCATGCGTTGCTATGGCGACAGCAGTTGTTTGGTTGACCTTTTGGAACTACATTTTAATTCATGATTATATGAGCTTGATTTTTCATATACTTTTATAACTCTTATTTGTGATTATGGGTAAGTTGATCGAGTCAAATGTATATGGACATGAAAAATCTGTGAAAATGCCTATTTTTCCAATGGGTAAAATTTTTTGTTTAGTTTTTCAAAGAAGAATTTCCATTCAAAAAGGAATTTAAACATTTCCGTTTTAAAAAACTAACTTATAGAAAACTAAAAAGTTTTGCCGTACAAAATCTATTTTTTTAAATATGGGTTGCGTTGAAAGATTGTGTTGGTTGTCCATATTTCTGACAAATATACAACCATATTTTGCAGCACTTTGCGGGCTCTTTTTTTTAAAGCTCTAATATGTCTGGCAGAAAGCTCTTCGCGAGTGTTATAACATACATTCCTGATAATATTTTCGACACTATAGCAGCTCTGTATAGGACAAAATGAGGAAATTTTACTACTAGCCAGTGGTCAGTTACAGTATATATAACAGTGGCCACGTTTTCATAAGCGTTTAAGAAAACTGCTGATAGGCATTGTTAATTAATGTAAGACATTTCCTTTCAAGCATTTCTTAAAATATGTTATAAATTTCATTTCTAAAATAAGAAAAACTGCAAAATTTTGCTTTTATAGGATTATTTTTAAATTTTTCGACAAAATTTTTCATGATTAAATCTTATATCGAAAAAAAAAACTCTTTTAGAAAAATAGTTTGTACATTTTATTTTGATATAAACTTAGATTTGAAATATACGATAAAAATGTGTGAACCTAATTTAATAAAAGAAACTGACCAGTATTATAAATTGTCAAATTTATCTTAAATTACAATGAAATCCACTCAGCAGCCCAAAGAAATCTAAATAAGAAATTTAAATTTGACGAGCTGAAAAGGGCCATTTTTAATGAACGAGTCACAAATCAAACTATAACCCCAGATTTGATCGAAGTTCTAATTTGTTCGAAAAATTAGTTATTTTTCGGTGAAAATTTTTTTACTTTTATTGTTTTAATGATGAATATTATGTTGTAGCGGTTTGCAATCACGGGAAATGGAGCATGGGGAGGGAGGAGGGTAGGACCCTAGTAGGTATGTTTAAATTAAAGAAAGAAGATGGATTTACCTCTAATTAAAGAAATATAACTTTAAAGAAAATTTATTTTTCTCCCTTCGAACTTTTAAAGTACAGTGAGGAATTTTTAACTACTTTCAGAACCACTCATTAAAAAAAAAAAGGACGAAGACCTCAAATATCAAAGCGAAATTCCGATGGCAGTATTCTATATCTGTACTATTTCGTTCCATAGATTCATCGGTAGTATTCCGATGGTAGTATTGTACCTGAATGTTTTTTTAACTAAGGAAATTTAAATGTATTTTTCTTCTCTTCGAGCCTCTAAAGCACAGTGAGGAATTTTTAATTGTGTTTAGAAACCACACATCAAAACATCAGAGCTTATATAGCTTTGCTTTTATATGATTATTCATCAATTAGAATGTTTCCACATATTATTATTAATTGTTAAATTACATATATAACGCATCA